GGATTTTATTTTCAGAGGGTACTGGGAGACACGAACAACTGGTGCCTCCCAAAACTGAGGGGCACCATTTGTGGGCAGCAGTGTCGGCAGTGTCAGTGGTGGAGTGGCAAGCGGTGACCGCCCACAAAAGCTGGCGGCGGTGAGGGGGTGTGTTTGTGAGTGGCAACTGGCAACCACCGGCAGATGCTGCCGACGGTGAGTGGCAACTGCCTGCACAAGCCACCAGTGGTGGCGGTGGGAGGGAGGGAGGGAGGGGGTGATGACAAGTAGTGATTGCACGCAGAAGCCAGTGGCAGTGTCAACCAATCTCAGGCAGGGCACGGTCCCCCTCCATGCCCCCCCTAGAAGTCACCTGTGCTGGGGGAAAAAGGCATTTGAGAAGGGAAGTATTGTCAATCTCTGTGAAAGATGAGATGATCCCCACCCCTTTCTGTTTCTTGGGTACTGGATAAACGTACAGTCTCATTGGAAGACATCCCTATGGCCAGTGTAGTTGGAGGTACAGGTACTGTTCTGTAGAGAAAAAAGCTGGAGAAGAGAGGAGGAAAATCCAGTTAAAAACCAAACGTTCAAATAAAAGTTCAAGCCATGAGTAACAGGATCCCCACATTTATCTTATTGGTAAGATAAATGGGGGCGGGGGGAGGGATATGTTTCCGGAGTACTTTGAAGCTATAAGGTGCTATTATAAATGCTAAGCATGATATGACTTCAGATTCAAAGAGCAGCATATTCATGGACCACTAACCTACTGTAAAGAGCTGCAGCATATTACAAATGCACTTTTGAAGGCAAGGTTCTACTGAAAGTTTGTTCCACTGACCTAGATTAACCTTGGCATCCAGAAAGCTCAGGTACAAGCCTAGCTTACAAGAGTTTCACAGTCTGGCCATTGCCTTTACATGTCTGCATGGGCACTAACATGGAGCAGAAAGCCAAATATCACGAGTGGGAATTAGAAAGATGTGAGGGCACAACAAGAAACATTAATAAGTAAAATTGGGCTAACGACTATTTTTAAATTATGAAGAGTTCTCTTATTCTATGTGGATATGAACACTCAAAATGCAAGCTCTCTGAGCTGGATGGTAGGCTCCCTTCCTGAAAGCAATGAGCAATTCTTCATGCAGGCACTCCCACTGTAATTGGCAGTGGAGTTTTTCAGTGCAAACTCATAATCTCAGCCTCTGGGATTCTTGACACCACAGGCATTTGGCACTAAAAAGAAGCTGGTGCATATTAAAATAAAGGGATCCTTGCCATTAGAAGCAAAAATAATATCCCACAACATCACAGGCAGTCCAGTAGTCGAAAATCTGAAAAAAAAGGTTTATCAGAGAGGTAGTTAGCCATGTTAGCCTGAAGTTAAAGAATAAAGAAGAGCAGGATAGCACCTTAGGCCCCCTCTACACATTACAGCTATTTTGCAATTAACAGGTAAACTGAGACCAACTACATGTGCAAAGTACCCATCACAACGTAGAAAGGTCCAACCAGTTATAAAGTTAGACCTCAAAAATGTGCATTAACTTTATAGATGACTGCTATCCAGCTTTAATTGGCATATGTAGCTGGGACTCAGCAGCGGCAGGGCACAGCTGGGATCTCCCTGCCTCGGAGGTGCGTGGTGGTCCCATGGCTGGGAGACTGCAGCAGCTGCGATCTCCCTGGTGTGGGAGATTGTAGTCCCAGAGCTGACAGGATTCACAACCTTGGCTCCATCCCACCTGCAGCCAGGACTGTGAGCCTATTTCCATGCAGGACTCAGAGACCTGGCTGCACCCCACACGCCTCCTGCCATGTGTGGCATGGCAAAAGGCACCATTGTGTGGATTGTGCATTAGATCCTATCACGCTTTTACCTGCATGTGTAGAGGGGGCCATACAGACTAACCTGGTCAGAGAAGCATGAGCTGTTGCAGGTTACAGTCTATTTTGTCAGATGCTATGGAACATGTGAAACATGAAATGGCATCTGATGAAGCAGACCGTTGCCTGGGAAAACTCATGCCTCTCTCAACCAGTTAGTCTATAAGGTGCCAGCTTTCCCTGCCTTCTGCCTGAAATGTTTGCTTCAAAGACTTTTACTGCTTGTGAGGCTGTATGGCAGCTGAAAGCAAGGGGTGCAGGTCCAGCCCACCTGCTCTGCCATACAATGATTGTGTAATCTCATTGGAGAATCAATAAGCAAGCTGGGGTTGGGGTAAAACTTTTAGCTGCTTGTTACTGGGCTGTGGCCCATTGCTTGATGATTTCCCAGAGGATGGAAAACGTATCGCAAAACACATCATATGCAGGAACTCACAGACTAATGAGATCCCGAGTGGCACCTCAGAGAACAGCAGAGGGTGTTTCCCTCCAGGATATCTCTGGAAAGGACTGCTCTAGTTTCTGATGAGCACTCCACTGGACCCCACCAAAACGGGAGAACGGGTTCACTCAGGTGAGTGCGTTGCGACTGTAGGAACACAGGACTGGCATGGCCCTTCTGAGTTGAGTCACGCAGCCTAGCACACCAGTGCTGCAGCCAAACACACCCTGTAATCCCATTCAGATTTAACAAATGTCACTTTACAGAAATAAGTGGGTGGTCTGCCTCAGCTACTCTTGTCAGAAGACTGTTCCAGAAACTCTCTCCTCTGGTGGTCTAAAACTTTCTTCTAATTTCCACCCTGAATTTATTCATAGCCACTTTACACCCATTTATTCTTGGGCAAACATCATACTTTCACTTACATAGCTCTTCTCTCTCCCTGGTGTTTACATCCCAATACCTGCAGAGACAGTGTCTATATCTCAGTAGCTTGCTTTGTCCATTTCTCCTAGAACTGAGACAACTGCAGATCCCTCGTACTGGCAATACAACTCTGGATGTATTTTTTGCTTCAACGGGTCCTTTATCAAAAGTCAGCACAGACCTTGGAATAATCCCACTAGCTCAGTCTACCTTAGAAGTCACGTTCCCAAAAATAGAGTCAGAAAGCAGGGCAAAGTGGCAACTTGGAAACTAACTGGTTCAGAGAAGCACAACATTTGTAAGCAACAGCCTATTTCTATGAAAGCTTATACTTTTCTGAACCAGTTACTTTCAAAAGTGGTATCTTCCATCTGACTTCAGATTAACACAGCTAACTACCGCTCTCATAAACACATAAATAAATGAGGGCAAACCTTAAATTTTTATAGTTTATTATGCTCTACTGCTAAGGAAAAACTGATATTACTTTCTTCATTAATTGTAGACAAGAGCACACACAGGCTTTGGAATATCTACTTTCGGAATCTGCAATCAAAGGAGACCGATGAAAATTTAGATACCCACAAATAAAACCCCCCACCCCCCGCTCTACTCCCTGCCTCCTGATGAAAGCTCTTTTCTTGTGCCATTCTGAATACATATACATTGATCAAAACTGTATCCTGCAACTTGAAAAACACAGATTATTGGATGTGAGAAGAGCAACAGAAAATTCTCCAAAAGAAATGTTACTGGATAAAGCCATACTGAGAGACAGGATGAAAGACACATTTAAGTGAAGGGGAATTTTTGAATGTTGACCACTGACAGTAATGACAGACTAGGTATAGGCATGGCTACTTTCTCCTCACAGCAGTGCAAAGTATAAACTTTAATCTAGCCCCCCAATAAATTGAAATGCCTCTCATTCAAATTCCTTTCCTTTCCTGTGTCTTTGTGGCAAGGTATTTAACAGAACTTGCAGATTCGTTGGAATCTGACGGGCCAGGCCATAAGTGCTTCTGCTGTAGCCTTGAACTTGCAACCTCCAAGCTGTCAGCTGTGCACCTTAGCACCTACATCCCTCATTTGCATCCATTAGAGAACCTCCTTTTCTTTGCTTTGTGTTTGTTTTGGCTGTAGTTAAACATCCCCTTTCAAACATGTTTAATGGTCTTAAGACAAAACACATTAAAGCAGGAAAAGAAGAACTAAGTACCCTACGAGCTGGACAAAGCTTTGGCTGGGATGATCTAGGTGGGGATGGTCCTGCTTTGAGCAGAGGGTTGAATTAGATGACCTCCTGAGGTCCCTTCCAACCCTAATTTTCATAGTTTCATAGTTTGTAGGGTCGGAAGGGACCTGAGAGGATCATCAAGTCCGACCCCCTGCCTTGGCAGGAAAAAGTACTGGGGTCAAATGACCCCGGCAAGGTGTTCATCTAGCCTCCTCTTAAAGACCCCCAGGGTAGGAGCCAGCACCACTTCTCTTGGAAGTTGGTTCCAGATCCTAGCCGCCCTGACCATGAAGTAGCGCCTCCTGATGTCTAGTCTGAATCTACCCTCTGTCAGCTTGTGACCGTTATTCCTGGTCACTCCTGGCAGTGTTGGGGGGAACAGGGGCCCCCCAATGCCTGCTGATCCCCCCTGACTAGTTTATAACAGGCCACTAGATCCCCCCTCAGCCTTCTCTTGTGGAGGCTGAACAGGTTTAGGTCCCTTAACTTCTCCTCATAGGGCCTGTCCTGCTGCCCCCTGATCATGCGAGTGGCCCTCCTCTGGACCCTCTCCATGCTGTCCATGTCCCTCTTGAAGTGTGGCACCCAGAACTGGATACAGTACTCCAGCTGGGGCCTGACCAGTGTCGCATAGAGGGGGAGTAATTTTCTATGAGTCTGTAAGCTCAGAGTTAATCCTCTTCAGGCAAGGATGACCTTTAGCTCGTGTTAGGCAGCTCATGTTGTAGTAACTTCAGTTTGCTCCACAAGGCTAATACCTGCAATTTGTAGTCCTCAAGTATCCCAAGAGGCACTGCTCCCAGCTGTCCCCACATGGACTAGCTATCCTCCATACTCTTATGCCCTGAACTGACAGCTGGAGATAGCTGCAGGAGTGCGGGAGGGGAAGAAAAAGGGTGCAGAGGAAGGGGGAAAGGAAGAAGGGGGGAAGGGGAGGAGCGTTCTCAGCAGAGAGAGACAGTGTGGTTTGATACAGGCAGTGGAGTGTGTGATCTAAGTGGTGTGGGATAGCAGGGGAGGTGAGGGGGGGGTGCTGTCCCATTTTCCCCTTCCTCCCTGCCCTATATTGCTGCTAGAGAGTTGGCAAGTGGGGCAGAAATGGAGCATACCTGGCAACTCCTAGCCATGGCCCTGCTTGCCAACTCTCTAGTGGCTGGTCAGAGCTATGCACACTGGAGAGGGTATTAACTTTTAACATGCCACTGCTCACAGCATGTGCTAACTTCAACTCTGTCAAGCATTCCTTAGATAGAGCTAGCACACGGTAATCGTAATGTATAACGACACCCTTATTTCCTCCACTTCTTCCCCTCACTCCCCAGCCCCAAAACTTGAGAACAAATGAATTTGTATTTTACTGGCTAGTCATATCAAGATATGGATTTGTCTCACAAAGATGAGCTGGTTGGGAAATGTTCATGAAGCTTGTAACCACTTGAGGGACCTTATAATGAGCAGGCTGGTTAATAAAGACTGTTTGACAACATACACAAACCAAACTGAAATCAATTGTTAACATGTACATACCGTGCTGCTGAGAAGGACAGGAGCAGTATAAAGCAAACAGAAGCAACTGACCCTAGTCCAACAGCAATCAAGGGCTCTAGAGTGGGTGATATATCTGAAAGGGAAATTTCAAACAATTCAAATGAACAAATACCAAACAGCAGGGCTTGGGTCTTGTGATTCACCGCCTGGGTAGGCTCAAAGTTAAAGCAGCGTAACAAAACTCTTATGCTCATTTATTGCTCCATCAAGTAGTAATAGAGATGACCAACCCATGGCTAGTGGCCAACTGATTAAATGACGTTAACAACACATTATTCAAAAGGGATTATGCAGTCCATACCCACACCTGCCTTCCTTTTTTTTTTAATTTTAACAATTGGTATCACTATTTTTCCCTTTCACCATCAACTTGTTTCAGGTTAGCCCATGTCCCCAAGACCAGCAGAGTCTAATGCTTCATTTACCAGCTCAAACCCTCACTTCCTAATTCTTTCAGTATTGGCACTATTTTTTTTGAATGGCAATTGTGGCAGCAGTAGCAGAATGGAAGTCAAACATAGGCATGGTAGACCTGCTGCAGCACAAATATTAAAGTTAGTAAGAATGATGTGAGAACATCTCGCTTGAATCAGAAAAATATTTAATTGACCACCTTTCCCTTTTATGGCAGCCACAAGTTACTACTTTCTTTCCAGAATCTCCACAGACTCTTAGATCATTGATCCTATGTCTTTAAAGTCCTGTGTCCTGTCAGAGCTTGTTGCAGTTGGGAGGATGACTTAACAAAAATGGCACATTCTTATTTGGTGGAATTGTTCCGTGGGTGTACGCAGGGAGGATGAGCTTCCATATCACAAAATCTACAATTACCACTTGGCTAGGAACTTTTTATTGTCACTTGAGCCACAGCAGGAAGGACTATCTAGATACAGAACTCATTCACCACAATGATGAATTACAGGTCTAAACCATAGAACAGAGCTGTAATGCATTAGGAAATTTTCTAAATGTTTTTGGTGTATACCCAGTTCTGCGCACTGGTGAGCTCCCACTGAAAGCAGTCAGAACAATGCTGAACACTTCTGAAAATTGTATCATAATCCTTGAACCTTTCATCAAGAACTAAAACAAGGGTGTGCCTCAAGAGAAAGAAAATGAAGCAGGTGGGTGTAAATACATAACTGCATAAACGGTGGGTCCCATAAAGGATGGGTCCCCAAAATTTTCAATGTAGCATGGAGACTGTTCCCCATCATCTTCTGCTCAGAAGATATCAGCATGGGGTGTGCCTTTCCAATCTTTCTGTGACTCAATTCTTCTCCTAAAGAGGAAAGCTCAACTGGACACCTTAAAGATGGTTTCTAGAAGCTAAAAAATAGTGAAGGACATTGTAGCCCAAATTTTCAAAACAGGCCTTTAAAAATGCACTGGAAGCCTTGTAAATGTGCATTTCAAAGCATAGGTGAGACACGGGGGAGTGGGGGGGCACATGTGCCCCCCTTGAGAGCACTGGTGTCCCCCTGAGCAAGCGCTCTAGCTGGTAGGGGGGCACAGAGAGCAGTAGTGCCCCCCCTGAAATTGGCTCTGCTGGCAGCACATCAGAGCCCCCAGTTGCCAGCTGGCCACTGGGGAACCCCTTCCCCATCCACCCCGGTCACCGGCTGGCTGCTGGGGGACGCGCCCCCGGGTCATGACCTGCTGGTGCTCCCCACCCCCGACTCAGAAGGCACCAGCTGCCCATGTTTCAAAGTTTTCAAGTACTGGGCATATTATGCCCAGTTTTTCAGCAGGCAAGAAGATGGGCGTGAAAAGCTGCAGCTTAATTTTTGAAGTTGTGAAAAGTATCAGAAATATCATTTTTAGAAATCCAGCCCTGTAAATATTATAGAACCAAGCAAACATTCTGCCTCTGATCCTTACAGTCTTCCATGTACCTTCATTACTAGCTGTTTATAAAACTGCTGCAGCAACTGCTAGTTTTAAGCTGACAGAGAACTATGCAGAGCTGCACAAGCTTCTGTTTTTTCAGCAGATGAAAAACTGCCTTACTTTTAAGTTGTGCCCAAACTGCACAGGATTGTGTCTTCACCTGAAAAGGAAAGCATAAGAAAATCACTGGGTTTTCATAGAACAATTTACCAACGAGTCTATACCAAATGGGAGGGCATTCAAACAAGAAATGAATCTATTACTGGAGACTGGGGATAATGGCACAGTGGGCCTAGGCAGTGCACCGCCATTGCAGAGCTGGCCTGCCTGGACCATATGACCGCATGAGCTGACACAAAGGCGGCAGCAGTGATGTGAAAGAGTTCTGAACCTTGCAGAAATTTGAAACCCACTAGATTAGAGAGAAAAAATCCTAGTTCTCTTCTTTTAGATACACACATTCTTTCTTCTTATAACACATGCAAAAAAGCCCTATGAAAAAAACTTTAAAGCTCATTGTTGAATGTCCAAAACCTGCGAAACATCAAAGTTAAGGCTACCCATGTAGTTATAATTCCACATGCATGTAAGCATGAACATGCGACCATGGACTATTGAATTACATTGTTATTTACGATTTCTCAAATAACATATTTTATTATATTTACTTCACCTTTGAATATCCACATAGCACCTTATAATTTTGAAACAAATGTTATAGGGCTGTCAATTAATTGCTGTTAAAGTGCACGATTAACGCATTAATCGGTATTTGAGTAAACTTTTTTTAATGAGTTAATCGTGCACATGGTTTTGGAGTCTGCACCTGGGCCCTGCTCCGCCGCCTCTGGGCCACCCAGTGGGGCAGCGGTGGCAGTGCAGAGGACTGCAGGGCAGCCTGGGAGTGGGCTCTGGGCGACTGCAGCTGGAGGGAGTGGGGGCATGCATAGACACACGTGAGCAGCCGCAGCTTGCATGTAGAACAGAATGTAGAATGTAGAACACGCTGAATGCAGAACAGATCAAGGCCCCCACAGTGAGGGAGGGAATAGGGCAGGGGCAGGTGCTGGGGTCAATAGGGCACTAGGGCCAGGGCAGGTAATGGGATGGAGCTGCAGGAGGTTCATTCGGAGGCATGGGGGAGGGGAGTGCTCTCTGCCACTGTGTACACCCCAGGAGGAGGCATAGGGGGCATGTGCCCCCCAGATTTGTGCATGGGGCAGAGGCAGGCTGCCCACTGCAAGCTGGGGCTCCATGCCCTGCTACCTTTGCCTCAAGAGCCATACGCCAGATGCCCCGTGCATCCCTTTCCCACCTGTTGGCAAGAGGCACAACATGGCATTGAGTGGCTCCCGGGGCAAAGGCAGCAGGCAAAGGTCACCCCTTCACCCTAGCACCTGCCCCACTCCCTCCCTCACTGTGGGAGCCCCAATTTGCCCCACTTTGCCCCTTCCCTCTCTTCCCACCCCTTTCCCTCCACAGACTTACCGGCACAGCACTGTCTGTGTGTTTGTCTGCCTATCTGTGTCTGTGTCTCTGTGTGTCTGTCTGCGTGTCTGCCCCTCACTCCCAAGCCACAGCCCTCCCCACTCTGCTGCTGCCCCTCACTCCTGACCCACAGTACCCTGCAACCTGCCAGGGTGTGCAGGGTCCCCCCTCTCCAGGCTCCAAACCCCCCACACAGGGCCATCCCAGGGGGTGGCGAATCAGGGTGACTGCCCTGGGCCCTGCACTTTTGGGGGTCCCACAGAGCTGGGCAGAGCAGCGGTTCCACATCCAGCCATTAGCTACCCCTGCTGCTGATGTCGCGGCTGCCGATGGCGGTGGCAGCTTCTTCAGGTCCAGGATCGAGAGTGGGGCCCCACGTGGGCTGATTGGCCCTGGGTCCCACACCCTGCTCGGGTCACCTCTGCCCCCCCCCCCCACCCCCCCCCCCCCGCCCCCC